GGTTTGGGTTCAAACTCAGCCGAGGTCGGTGGGATTTTTCTGAGGCATAAAAATCTCTGGTGACGTAAAGCCGTTGGTCTCGGCCCATGTGTGTTTGACTGGGTGCGATATCCTACGCAGGTGGGGAGGCTGCCTTCCTGCACATTCGAATTGCCGTCAATGGATGGCAATCGATGTCCGTCGGTGATTGGCACTAGATTGCGGAACAGAGACCGACGTTAAATAAAAGAAAAAAAAAGATTTTTGGCAATGGCCCCAATCTTAGATCCATAGGTCAACATTAGAGCCATTTCCCCTATATAAAATTGCTGCTTGTTTATCGCATTCCAGACACACTGGCGATGCTACCATACACACTTAATCTAGCTCGGTAAAATCTCCGACAGCCGATTACCTCGGCATTTACTTTTGCTGATATCTTTTTTTTTTTTTTTTCCTTTATTAACGAGACTTTCAGCCTTAGGCTTGCTGATATCTCTGCAAAATATCTGTTTGTTAGCTGATATCTCAGCAAAATGTTATTTGTTAGCTGAGTCTCGGCAATTGTTTTACTGAGTCTCAGCAATATAAATTGCAGAACTACTCGGCTGTTGGAATCTCGGCTAAAAAATTTAAGTGTGTAGAGGTAACTCTAAGACTAGAAGGTCCCGAAGAAACGTGCTCAACTTTTTGGCTCAGCTCTGGTACTCTCTTCGGTCCCAAGCTAATCGATTCACCCCTCGAATCATAGAAAAATCCACTAACCCCTCCTTTTATCTGTCAAACTTTCATAGCAAATCAAAACAAACATTGTGTAGTACTAGAATCTCGACTAGAATGGGGTACGTTAATCGTTTGCTTGGGACCTATAGGCTAGTAAAGTAGGGAGCCAATTTAAAATCGTTAGTTTCGTATTGATTGTTGATGCTACTAAAGCTTGAGTCATTTAATGTATGGACGCACTGTTTATTTTACTGCAGTGCTCCTAGCGGTCGGACTTGGAAAATCCGACGTGATCAGGTTCAAAAATCGCGTAGTAGCTGAATTGTCTAAATCGACCGTGTGCAGTGTTCTCAAACGTTTCCGTGAGCGGCATACTATCAATCGGAAGGATCATAGCAAGCGTCGTAGTGGAGCTAAGGATCGGAAGCTTCATTTGAAGGTATTGAGAACGGTTAGGGCAAACCCAGGGCTGTCGGATTATGATATCGGATTATGATACCATCAGAAGGATTTGTCAGCGAGAAGGATTTCGATCTTTTTGGGCCAGTAAGAAACCAAACAGGACACTGAAGCAGAATCTAGTGGCCAAAAAAACGAGCCCGAAAGTTGTACAATGAGGTTCTTACAAAGTACGAAGGATGCCTTCTCATGCAATTTCCCGGACAAAGTTCAAATTCGTTTTTGCCGATAAATTTGCAAGAATGCTTATGATCTGGCAAGGTATTTGCAGCTGCGGACAAACAACTCAGGTTTTCGTGACGAACAAGACAATGAATTCCAAAATGTACAAGCAGGAGTGCATGAAAAACGTATTGTTCCCGCTCCTAATGAACCTGTGAGGTTTTGGACTGATTAGGCAAGCTGCCACTACAGCGGAGAAGTTCTGGGAATATTGGGCAATTGTCAAACAGAAATTGAAGAAGAGTGGAATGGCAAACGGCGCCGGTGGTGTAGTGGTAAGTGTGATTACCTCTCACCCCAGAAGGCCTGGGTTCAATCCCAGTCGGTGCCGCCGGGATGTTCTGAGGCATAACATCTCTGATCACGCCTTCCTTCGGATGGGAAGTAAAGCCGTTGGTCCCCGGTTCATGAGTTGATGGGTCGATAGGTAGGGTCCAGGTGTGGGAGCTGCTTTCCTGGGCACGTCGGTAGCATTGGTGCTCAGCACGGAAAACAAGATCGACGGAAAAACAAAACCAAAGAAAAAAAAAAAAAGAGTGGAATGGTGTATTGGGGTTGCGACAGAGATGGAGAGATGGTGAAACAAAATAGTTTGTTGATACCAGAAAAATCGGGATATCGTGAAGGTCATTCAAGGGAAACCACGTTGAATTTGGTATTGGCGAAATGGCAAGATAGTTTGAAGCGCAAATGTACAATTTTTTAATTTTTTTTGGATCTAAAACGTGCTTTTGAAACAATTTCTATGCCCTTATTGTTACGATCAATCAGGCGCTACTGCATATAAATGGTTCAAAAGCTGTTTGTGTGACAGGACTCAACGGACTTTTTTTTAATGATTCTGTTTCCAGTCCCGTGGGGAATAGCCTAGGAGTGCCCCAGGGAAGTGTATTAGGGCCCCTTTTATTTATTACGTAAATTAATGACTTGCGACGTGTTTTACGATTTTGCAATATTAATCTTTTTGCAGAGTGTACTGTTTTATTCATTGCAGCTAAGGATTTAGATGATGCCGTTTTACACTTGAATGAAGATTTGCGTTCTCTAAGTAGATGGTTAAAGTATGAGCAGTTGAAATTGAATACAAGTAAAACTAAATTTATGGTAATTTCGCGGAATCGAGTAAATGAAAACGTATCTGTTGTAATTGATGATGAGACTATTTATCGCGTTCGGGAGATAAAATATCTTGACGTGGTTATTGATGACAACCTTAAGTTCAACTCTCACATTGACAATGTCACCATGAAAATTTTCAAGAAGTATGGAATTCTATGTCGATTGAAAAACGATTTAACTATCACCAGTACAATACAGCTAAACAAATCAATCAACTCTCCTTATCTAGACTTTGACCCTTCCATTTTATTTCTGGCCAATACAACACAAATATCGAGATTATAGAGTTCTCTACCACCGTTAGTAGTAGTGAGCAGTTTCACTAATACATGCATTTTACTGGTTGAAAATAGAAAACAAACAACTGTCATGTCGAACACTTTGACAGCTGATTTCGTGGTTGAAAATAATAAACAAATCGATTTTACACGGCTTCACTAGCAAGGTTGTATTAGTGAGATCTTGCCGCGAGAAGTCAATACCGCTTGCACACTAAAATAATGCGTTTGATTTTGAGCTGTCGGTGAAGCAAAGAATTGTATATTTGATTATGATGTTCATTTTTAAAGTAGTTAACGCTTTGCTACTTCGATATTCGTGTGAAAGATAATGTGACTTTCAAAGATATAAAACTAGAAACGCGGATGAAATAAGAACACCAAATTTCTTGACATGTACTTCACAAAATTCATTATTTTTTAAAGGAATAAATATTCTCACTTCAATGTCTAGACACATTAAACGTGCAACTACACTTACAGCATTTAAAAGACTTGACAAAGACTGTCTTTTGAACATTTATCTAATGAATTTATTTTTATGAATGGATGAATCCTTGACGAAGTTTGTAATGGATTATTTTGTTTGGATAGCTATCATAACGACTTTTTAATAATAATTGTAGCACTGCAAAAAACATTTTATTGGCCACGATGGTGATGATGGATTTTTAATATTTGATTTTAAAGTAGCAGTTATTAAAGTGATCTACATAGGTTTGAACCTCGCGCGCGTATCACGGATATAGAGGACTGAATATACCATTTGATAATCCAAGATAAATTGAACATTGAAGCCTATTTGGAAGATGCCATGAATAAGTATCCATATCAGTTAGTTTTTTTTGATAATCATTCAAACTAAATAAATTTTTAAATTTGAAAAATTTACTTTCCACTGAAGTTAATAACATTATGTTTTTAATTGTTTGTAAAAATTTTGTGATTTTTTTCAGCGGGTAATTATTTCTGAAAAGGAAATTCAATTTCCTTCAACTATGTTTCAGACGTCATTTTGATTAGATGAGTCGTTTTTGAGCTATGATTAATTGAAAATATCGAATACACTATTTTAAAAAGTTAGGCGAATTTCAAAATGGTCAAATTCCAGAACAAACTTGATTAATTGCCCTCAGCAAACAATTGTCCGAAGTTTCATGGAATTCTGCGAAGCAAAATCTAAAATTCGTTCGCTATTTGGCGTAGATTTATTCATCTATATTGCCCACTGAATGCGCTACCGATCCTTCCCCCGGTGACGTGTGCATTTCAACACATACAGCAACACTTGAAGTTCAAAACAAGCCTAGAAAAAGCCGACAAAAAATACACTTACCGGCGCACGCTCCACTGCCACTAAGCTCCTCCAGCGAGCAGTCCTCTCTAGGGATCTTCCTAGCTAAGAAATGTGAAAAATAGGTATCATCTCCAAATCTCCTTTCTCCTTCATGATCCCTTCAATGGTCGAACCTTTCCACCGACACAACACCAAGTCACTGAGACCTTTTCTCCCTTTTCCGTCTCAACTTTCATTGCTGCCGGTTGGGCTCTAATCTGCATTAAAATGGATTAAATTCCGGCATTAACATAATAATGAAATCTGACTCAGTTTTCGAGTGGATTTCATTATTTCGAGACAAGACCTCCGCTTTCGAGTGGACCACAATCGGTTCGGGATCGATCATCATCCTGCTTTCGGACGTTGTTGCGGGAAGAATGCGAGCAGACGACCTATCGGTTGCTACTTAAACTGGATGACAATTATGTTCAAATTTTAAGACTTATTATTTGAGTGGCTCTTCGTAGTCTTTGGGAAAAGAAACTCTTTCTTTGGTACCAATCTTTCCTCGCTTTGTGAAGGTGGACAAATATTTGCTTGAGCCAGCCGGGCTACCGGATAATTTAATTTCACTGTAGAATGGTTCACAATGATGGCCCTACTTGAGGAGAAGAATTGAAGAATGGATGGGCTCGAGAGGGCTAAGCTTTGAACAAGAGAACAATGCCAAGACGATCTTAGTTTAGCTGGGAAAGACAATTGGTGAAATTTGAATAATGGGAAACTTCAAAAGGAATACAGGAATATCTTCTTGAAAATGTAATGCCAAAAGGTATTATTGCCAAGCTCGTCAAAATCAGTAAAGATAGTTCAAGATATTTTCGGAACGAAATGAAACTCTTTTCCAACTGTGTAATGTAAAATCAAATAATATCATTTATTCAAAGCAATAGATTCTATTCACAATCTCAATACTTTCTCGTAAAAATGCAAAGGCACTTGACAATGAGGTGTCCGAAGGAGTTATAAATATAAACACACAGGAGTATTATACAGAAACCGCAAAATCTAAATCACAAACACTCACACTAGCAGTCCTATAAGAGCAAAATGGAAGCAATACTGAAGTTCACCTTCTTACTATCATCGTTATTGCCATCCCGTTGATCGCTGGGAGGAGCATTGCCACCGTTGCTGGCAGAATGCAACTCCACCGGTGATGCCAACCGAGGGGCAGGTGATGATCGAACTGGCGGCAGATCTTCCGAACTCAACGGTTGCGTCACGCTGAAGGCCGATGATCGGTCTGACTCGGGAATGGACTCCGTGGGTGATATTTGCGGCGCCACCGGGGCAGGAAGTAGCGTCGCTTGCGGATGATGATTCACCATCGGTAGGAAGGGATGTCCCATTTGCGAAGGAGGAGCATGTTGCGGTCCCATCGGTTGATGGTAAGGATTTCGAGCGAAGTACGGTATCATCAGATCCATCCAGCTGGGATTAAACATTTGATTGTACTGACGCATCAGTAGTTCGTTGGCGGCGGCAGCTGCCGCTGAGGACCCGGGTGGGAACCTTCGTTGCATGTGCAACCGCAGCACGTCGGACCCCATGCCATCGTCCAACCCTCCTCCTCCTCCTCCCATCAGCAGCCGCCCGGGGTCCATCGGATCGGACAACTCGTTTGATCTGGCCCGCTTTGCCTCGTGGAGCTGTTGCAGATCGTTGCGATCCTCGTCATCTGTCATTTGGCCACATGTTCCCGAGGACGACAACGACGACGAGGAAGATGACGTTGATGTATTGCTGCTGCCACTACTGCTGCCCAGCTTCCTCTTGCAGCGGGACTGGCCCGTCTCGCGGAACCCTTTGGCGAACGGGTTGTTATCGATCTTCAGTTTGGTTATTCGATCGTTCTGCAAAGACAAGAGTGAGAGAAAGAAGGGATGGGAGAAGATGACATGGAAAACGGGTGATAAGATCGGTTCTCTGTGACAGTTGCGGATTAAGATCGGATCATGGATTAGGGTCGCCAGATTTGCGAATCGCAAACATGAGCGGTTTAGTGTATAATCTTGTGAATGACAACGCTTTAATTTCAGCAGTTATTTGTTTTAAGTCACTCGGTCAATACAAAAAGATTGTTTGTGATATCGGCAAATAAATTTGAACTTATTTACTATGAAAATATGACAGTCAAAAATGGATGACTGTCATGCATATAATTGGATATTTTCACAAAACTTCAACCTAAATATGTTTTATTGGGGAAATTATTGTAACAGCGTCATGGACTAGGAATGTGTATAATTGGTCAATTCATACCTTCCATCAGTAAAATATGTGGCTGCGCATCTTTATTGAAAATACATGGTCGTTTGATAGTCCAGGGTCGCTTTAAGACTCTATGGGGTCTGAGCTCAAATTTAAAGTGCTTTGGTGATTATGAAATGTTCTAAAGTAGTTTTTAACATAACTTTTAAGAAAATATATACAGTATATACTATATATACTTTCGTCGATAAACAAATTTCGATCAGAGTTGGGAGTAATTGCTATACTATTTAATATCTACATGAAGCTTTAGTGCGATCATTTATTAGCTAGAGAAAGTTCCGAAGAGGATAGATTGATAGTTCCGCTAGAGTAAGGCATTGTGAAAATTGAATAGAAGTTGAAATTGAGAGAAGGGCAATTAATGCGACAATACTAATAAAATGCACACTCCTTTGCCTAACTCATACTTTGATGGATGAGGGAATTTGAGGTATTTCCTCAAATCCACAGGCAAAAGAGTGCGCTTTTGACTTGCTCATATGCTGTCTGTGACTGTGTAATAGTTCTAGCGACGTTTCCCAGACAACCAGAAGTCTACAGTTACAGGCTACAGTTTAAGTCAATATCGCCTATAAGAACGAAATACATCACATTATGTTAAATTAAATCGCATAGAATGCAAATTTCCGACTCATATGCAGTGCATCATTTTTCCATCGAACTGTATCAAAAATTAAATCGGATTACATCGTAGTTTTCAAATAGAATTTGTTGTAAAAGGTTAAATCGTGTATGATGTCAAATTAACTCGTTTAAAAATAAATTAAAATTTGGAGGTATATTGACTCCACTATTGCATGTTAATGCATTCTAAACGATTTGTTTGTTTGTATATGTATATGTTTTCAAAGCACAGAAACAACTTTGCACATACGTGCATTCTGGTTGGCTGGGTAATCACTACCTAAAGCCCCACGTTGCCGAAAGTATTTCCAGCCAATGGTGTGTATAATGAAACTCTTCTTTGCCCAACTATTGTTTGGCTTCTCTCGTCATGACCAATGTAGTCATCTAAAAGAGAAGCAGTAGGGTGATGTTGCGTGCTGTACCATGATCAGCAATTTCGATCACTTTTTGCACTTGACTAGCACGTCTTGATTGGTATTTTCTATATATTGAAACTTGAGACCAGCGGCGTAGCATGATTCAGTGAAACCCAGGGTGAGTCGCTAAGAGTCACTACTAGCATTTAAAAGTGCCTCTATTCCATAATGAACGAACTATAGAAAAACTACACAGTAAGTGTTCAATCATCTTAATATAAACATTTAACTACTCGAATTTCAACATTAATTTTAAGATAGCCACCAAATCAAATTGAAACGTATTCAATATCGTTGTTTATGTATTTGCCCTTGGCTGTATGCATTCAACACACAATATGAGCCTAGAAGTTCTAGCGGGCAAAAAACCCCTGCAGAACCGTTTTTGGGATCTCTCAATAAGAGTATTGATCAAATGTAGTGTCAGTAACAACCTTGTGATTGAAAACTTCGTAGCAATTCTCGAATTGAGCACCTTGACTAGATTCTTGGGAATCTACCTTAATTATATTCTTCTTCTTCTTCGCATTTCAAGCATATCGCATATTAGTTAACGGAGGCCCCAATAATTAATTATATGTCATCGGATATAAGCCTTCCGTGCTATGCTTTACTAACTACAGTTCCCCCATCGACTATGATCTCTTCATGAAATAGGTTATTCAAGGGGTTCCAGATTCGACCTATCTCAATCCCCCGTATTTTTGCTGAAAAGTACCAACAAGTCAATTGCAATAGAAGATTTTTCACTGATGGATCACGCATTGATGGATCAACTGACTTCGGTGTCTTCAATGAATACTCAACCGCCTTCCGGAAACTTCAGGAACCATGTTCCGTTTATGTTGCTGAGCTAGCAGCAATCAACTTTGCATTGGGGATGATTTCCGACATGCCCACAGACCATTGATTTATCTTCTCGGATAGCCTCAGTTCGATTGAGGCTATTTGGTCGATGAAACAAGGTAGGAACTCATCCTATTTCCTTTCAAAGGTAAAGGAGCATATGAGTTTGCTGGTCGAAAGATCATATAGGATTACCTTTGTATGGGTCCCCTCTCTTTGCTAAACCCCAGGCAATTAGAAGGCACACTCTCTCGCAAAGGTGGGCGCACAACAAGGCGAGAGTTATGATAGAAGAATTTCACATGATGAATTTTATCCATTAGTACGTCAGAGTTCTCTTCTAAGTTGGCAAAACGATTGGACGAGTAATTTTCTGGGCGGTGGTTACATTCCATTACTCCAAATGTTCCTTCGAGGGCGTGGTTCAAAGCAAAGGTCTGAATGTAAGTCGGGGATTCATTCGCGTGATGTCAAGACTTATGTCCAACCACTACTCGCTGGACTCACATCTCTACAGAATAAACCTCGTTGACAGCAATATATGTAGGTGCAGAACCGATTATGATGACATCGCTCACGCAGTTTGGCAGTGCCCGGGTAATGACGCCTCCAGAGCACGTCTATAGGATACTCTAGTGTTTACAACGAGGTAGACAACCCTTCCGTGAAGTAAGAGATGTATTGGAAACCCGTGATCTTTCCTACATGCAGGCGATCTATGAATTCCTTTGTTTGTCTGATGTTAGAGTTTGAGGTGACCATCCCCTATTTTCCTCCAGTCATTGTGTCCCAGTCTTATTATCCACCTGTTTCTGTGCTACTTGCCCCTGCCCAGCAAGCATTTGGTTAACCGTTCGAGATTAGTATCTGAAGGAGGCTTCAGAAACTTGCTTCCTACCTAGCTCCTTCCAATCGAAATTGTTACCCATTAACCTCGAGCCCGCCACGAGTAATTAGTACCCTTATCTAGATTTACTGCTGTTTAAAATATTAATTAAAAAATTACGGATTTTTAGCTCCGTTTCACACACGACTGAGCCTAGTAAATAAACAAACTAGTTAAAAAAAAACTTTGTCAGTGGCAGGAACTATATTTTAAAGTCTGGGAGAGGGAAAAATGCATCGTTTGTCGTTGTCATGTAATTTTGAGATATTGAGCTCGTGAGAGAGATAATTGTGTGAGAGACAAAATAGCTTTCTCTCTTGGTAGGAAGACATCAGTAAAGAATAAAGCTGGGTTTAGATTAGGCAAGTCAAATGATCAACTCAGTTGAATTCAATTGGCTTGAAAAGTTGAATCTGGTTAAACTTTTTTTCAATTCAAGAGAGTTGATCAAGTCAGATGAATGGCATGGTTTACACGTTCAATTCGCGTTCAAGTCAGTTGAATTCAACTGACTTGATCAATTGACTTGCTCTGTCTAAACCCAGCTTAAGGGAATTGAGAGGAGTGATGTGATATATTCTCATATCGCTGAATATATATGTATATATGTGTGTGTATGAACAGGTTCAATAAAGCTCACAGTGAATTTACTATCGCAACTATCAAGACGTGTTTTCCAATAGTGATCCGAAATAATTAAAAAGTAAACTCTCGATCGTAACAGTTCTGGCGACGAGCCATAAATCGGCGCACGGTTTGAAAGTGATCTAAACGGTCAAGGGTTTCAAGTAATATCAGGAAGATATCAGTGAAGGTTATTTCAAAATGGATCCACCAGGAGAAGAAAAGAAGCCTGCTACTGTGACAGTGAAAAAAAGAACCAAAGGGAGGTTTCCTGTGTATGTATCCGGGCTTAATGTGAACTCGTATCTTCAAACTGTGGATATTTATTTTGCGCTTAACAAGACCCCCGACGAAGAAAAAGCGTTAGAATTTATAACAAGCGTAGGACAAGAACCTGCCAATAGAATTATCTGTAGCTTCAAACCCGATAAAATCGTAAATAAAACTTACGCTGAAATTGTGACTAAATTCAGAGTGTTACATGAAGAAAACAAAAACGTGTTTGCCGAACGGCATCGTTTAATAATCCGGTGGCAAAAAGATGGCGAATCGTTGGATGATTTCGCAATCGACCTACAGAATATTGTTGAACACTGTAGTGTGAGTGTAGAGACAGAATCAACGTTGGTACAATCAGTTTTCGTGGTCGGTTTACGAAATGATAAAACGCGAGAATCGATGCTACGCGATGCCGACCACAATCTCAACCTCGGGTAGATATCAGAGAAGGCTAAAACAATCGAAATAGCTGCTTTAGAAGCACGAAAAATGGCTAAGCAAGATGCAAGTAAGTTCAACTATGTGGGAAACAACGGTGGGGGGCCTAGCAGAGGGTTCTTCAAACCAGGGAAATTTAATGAAAAGACGTACGGAGATCAGGTACTTAAAGATCTGTTAAACCATCGCGGTAGTTTTAAAGTCAATAGTGATATTGTGTGCTACAATTGCTACAAAAAAGGGCACTTATCGTACAACTGCACGTTGCCTAAGGCGAAAAAACCACGATTTGGGTTGCAACCCCCTAAAGGAAACGTGAACCGAAAAAGAGCATACGAAGAGAGGATTAATCAACTGTCGGCAGCCATGGAAAATCTCAAGATGAGTTTAGAAGAAGATGACGAAATATACGACGGAGAATCGACAGAAGAACAGGACGATGAAGATGAATCATGCAACTGGGTAAACAACGTGATGTTAAGTGAGTCCAAGAGTTTAACACCTGCTTTTGTGGAATTAACAGTTGAAAATAAAAA